GATTGCCCAACCTTCCTTCGGAGGAGTGGCTGGTGGGCTTGAACCGCCAGCCTTCTGGTTAGCAGTCAAGTGCCTTCAGATAGGAGTTCTAAAATATGATAACAACAGTAACAACAGCTAAGATTTGCTAAATGTTTATTATGTGTCAGGCAAAGTTATAACTGCTTCTACCTATTTAATCTTCATAACAGCATGACTTAAATACTATTAACACTCCTTTTTTTATGGATGATGAAACTGAGAGATATGCTCTCAATCTCTTTTTTAACATGGATCTTAATCACTTCAAACTACTTTTAGATGATATATATACTGGCTTGCTGCTAAAGAGAACAGAAAAAGAAGCATAGTTTTCTACACTGTCAAGACTCAAGAAATGGCGCCAAAAAAAGATGTTGCTGTTATGTGCCGTCAAGTTGGACCAGACTCATAGTGACCCCTCCTTGGGTTTCCAAGGCAGTATCACTATGGAGGAGTCAGCCGCAGGGATCCAGGTGAGGAGAGGAAACCCAGGCCACAACCCACAAGCAGCGAGGCGGGAAAGCAAGGAGAGGACAGAAAAGGCAAAGGGGATCAGAACAGATCAAGGAGTCAGCCACAGGGATCCAGGTAAGGGTGGTTGGAGAGGTTTCCAACAGCTAAGGGAGACAAACTTGTCTGTCGGTTTGTCCTACTGTGGTGATGTGTTGCTGTGAGTCTTGAGGCTGTGCCACTGGTGTTTCAAACCCAGTGGGGTGCACATGGTACACAGGTATCAGCCTGGCTTGCAGACTGAGACAGACTAGAAGAAGGAAGAGGCCATCTACTTCTCAAAGAATTGGCCAGGGAAAACTTTATGAATAGCAGAGAAACACTGTCTGATACATTACTGCACAACTTTATGAATAGCCCGGAAACATTGTCCAATACAGAGGAGGAAGATGAGTCACTTAGCTTAGAAAGCTCTCAAAGTAGGACTGGGCAAGTACATTATCAGAGTAAAATCAGCCTTACTCATATGGATAAGGTAAAGCTTTCGAGACCTCCATTTGCTGACGTGGTACCACTCAAATTGAGAAGAAACAGTGGCAAACATCCATTAATAATCGGAACGTGGAATGTACACAGTATGAATCTAGGAAAATTGGAAGTTGTCAAAAAATGAAATGGAACACATAAGGATTGATATCCTAGGCATTACTGAGCTGAAATGGACTGGTTTTGGTCATTTTGAATCAGACAACATATGATCTACTATGCCAGGAATGACAGTTTAAAGAGGAATGGCATGGCATTCATCATCACAAAGGATGTTTCAAGATCTGTCCTGAAGTACAATGCTGTCAGTGATAGGATAATACCCATACACCTACA